TGTTGGTCACGTTGATACTGGCTAAGAGGTTGGAGCCCTGTAATGGCTTAATGAATGGTCCTGGTGTACCTTCTGTACTCTGGCCTCAGTGATAGCATTATGTGTGTGCCTCTGTCTAGACATCATGTCACAAAGCTTTTAAAGCTATGGCAACACAGCACTGCTCTGTCTAGGTTTTTGCTTCCATCCATTAATACTGTTTCCTTCCACTTTGACATCATAATGCAGTCTCTGTGGGCTTACAATGACATTATCTTGACAATCTATAGTGAGATGCAGAACTAATGCTGGAGTTCTTTCTGTTCCTAAACCTTCTCCCTGTACCTTCTCTCTCACCTTTTGATGAATAGAAACCCTCTCTTTCTCCATGTTCCTACACTTCAAACTTTTACTATTAGGACAGTATATCAGAAAAATGATGCGTTAATCAAACCTGGAGCCATATGAATTTCTAGATACTGGGATTATTTAATTAGGTTTTAACTTGGAATCAGGTTAAATAAATCTCTCAACAATGTCACTACCTATTTACCAGAAATTGGTTTTTATTCTTTCCCTTCCTTTCTTCCTTTCTCTTTCTCTCCCTTCTTTCTTTCTTTCATGCATATTTACATGGGTCCAGCCCATGACAGGCTGGTACTTCAATAGTAAATGTACAGACAGTACTTGCATTCATAGAGCCTAGAATCTGGCAGAGAAGAGAGAAATTATACAAATATTGCAAGTGTGATAATTAAGTGTTGAGAAGACGTGCAGGGAGTGACCAAATCATAAGAAAGGAGGTACTTAACCAATCTTGGTAGCAGGAAATGTTTCCCTAAGGAGTTGATATTTATCATGAGACTGAAAGATACTTAGGAGTTAAACAGGTGAAGAGGTAGATGGTTGGGTTTTCCACATAGGTGTGACTGAGGGAACGGTGGGGTCCAGGAGTTTAGAATATAGGTAAGATTTAAAAATGATGGGTCATAGAATCAGAACTGGTTATAAAGGGAAATGAAGATAGGAGGGGGTCTTATTGATACGGAGGAAGCTTAGGAGATCCTAATGAGGTCCAAGAAAAAGTGCAGTGGGAATCCTTGAGCATATAAGATAGAAGGAGAAGAGGCTATGAAGCCCCCAAGTGACTAGTCTCAGGTGACTCATGAATTAGCGATTTGGAGCAGAAGCTGTTTCAGAAGAGAATGGAGTGAGGAAAAGATTATTAGAGATTAGGAAAAGGAGCAACTGAGGGTGGAGTGTTGTACGGCTCATTTATGGGGATGAGGGGTGTCCCAGAAGGATGTGAGGAGTTGAGGTAGAGAGGAAGATTGTGAGCTGGGCACTGAAGGCTTCTTTGAAGGAGTGGTAGGGCTGGTGGTATATACTAGAGTCATTTATAGATCACAGTTTCTCAAAGTACCCAAGATCTTTTCAGGGGGAACGTGAGTTTATAACAATTTTTATAATAATACTAAAACATTATTGGCCCTTTTCACTCTGTTTATATTTGCACTGATAGTACAAAAGCAATAATAGATAAAACTGCTGTGAATTTGGTAAAAACCAAGGCAATGGCACCAAACTCACAGGGAAAAAATTAACTTTTACTTAAGAAAGTCCTTCCTGAAGCAGAAAAAAATGTTAATTTTATTAAGCCTCAGTCCTTGAACAGGTGTTATTTAAATATTCTATGTGAGACATTTCTCAAAAGAAGACATACAAATAGCTAACAGGCACATAAAAAATGGTCAACATCGCTAATCATCAGGGAAATACAAATTAAAACCACAATAAGATATCATCTCACTCCAGTTAGAATGGCTATTATCAAAAAGACCAAAGATAACAAATGCTGGAGAGGATGCTGAGAAATGGGAACTCATATATAGTCAGTGGAAGTGTAAATTCATGCAGCTATTATAAAAACAGTATGAAGTTTCCTCAAAAAACTGAAAATAGAACTACCTTATGACCTATGAATCCCACTACTGGGTGTATATTCAAATGAAATGAATATATCAAAGAGACACCTGCACTCCCATCCTCATTGCAGTACTATTCACAATAGTGAAGAGATAGAATCAACCTAAATGTCCATTAATGGATGAAGGGATTCAAAAACTGGTATATATACACAATGGAATACTAGTCGGCCATAGAAAAGAATGATGTCCTGTCATTTGCAGAAACGTACATGGAAATAGAGACCATCATGTTAAGTGAAGTCATGTACATAAAGACAAATACCACATGATCTCACTCATACTTGTATGTGAAATCTAGAAAAAAAACCCCAAAACAAAAAAATAGTAGTTCTTATAGAAGTAGAGAGTAGAATAATATTTACCAGAGTCTGGGGAGGGAAAGTGGGTTGGGGAGAAGGGAAGAGATGGATTAACAGGTACAAGATTACAGTTAGATAGGAAGAATAAGTTCTAGTGTTCTAAGCTGACTATAGTTAATAATAAAAGGTTGTATATTTTAAAATAGCTAGAAAAAAGGATCTTGACTATAATCACTACAAAGAAAAGTGTTTAGGTGGATATGCTATCTACCCTAAGTGAATTATTGTATAACATATGCATGTATTGAAACAGCACACTGTACCCCACAAATATGTACAATTCAAAACTTTTTAAAAAGAGATGCTAAATATTCTATGTGACAAAATAGGAAGAATGCAAAAAATTTCTGATGCACTGAGGTACGATTGTTGTCTTGAGGAAAAGCAATTGTTTGAGATGAAGTCAAAGTAGTCACTTGTCTTTGTTTGGGCTGCTATAACAAATTGCCATAGACTGGGTGCCTGAAACAACAGGCATTTATTTCTCATAGTTCTGGAGGCTGAAAAGTCCAAGATCAAGGTACCAGCAGATTTGATGTCTGGTGAGAATTCACTTCATGGTTCTTAGATGCTGTCTTCTTGCTGTGTTCTCACATGGCAGAAGGGGCAAGGGCTTTCTCTGGGGTCTCTTTAATAAAGGACACATCCTATTTATGAGGGCTCCATCCTCATGACCTAATTGCCTCCCAAAGGCCTTACCTCCAAATACAATCACACTGAGGATTAGGTTTCAACCTATGATTTTTGGGGGGAAACATTCAATCCACAGGATCACTTTTTTCCTGGAACATCATTTTTACTTGATGAAGTAACTGCCAGACAATCTATGGTTATACAGGCATACATTGTCTCGAAAATGCAGAAAGCCTATCACTTCAAGGAAAATAACATTATTCATTACCAATAACAAAATGTGAGCTTTTATGCAAAAATTAAAATTTTGGAAAACATATCCACCACCATAAACTTTACGAGATCACTGGTGATATTTACTATTTGATTTATTGAAATTGTATAGTGGAATGTATCAATATTAAAAGATATGCACACTCAGTGAACTATAATTTTCCAAATTTCCAATGCGTGATCTTACAAAAATCATGTATGGGCACAAGATCCATTTAAAATGTACATAGACCAATGGATTTTAATGTAACAGTACAAAAAAATCTGATAAGCTCTCAGATCCCACATTGCAACTAACATCAAGAAATGGCCACTTGTCATGTTTTGGTGTAATACCAAGGGAAAACATACACATTATCTGAAAAGATTATTGAAACACTCTTCCCTTTTTCAATAATTGTGTGTGGCTAGGTTTTCTTCATAGACTTCAACTAAAAAAACATATAGCAACATATTGAGTAGAGAAGCAGAATTGAGCATTGAGCATCTAGCTGCTTTCTACTAGACCAAACCTGAAAAAGGATTTGCAAAGATGTAAAACAATCTTACCCTTCTCACTAATTATTTTCTCAAGAATATATTTTTTAATAAAATTATGTTATTTATGGTAACATGTAATGAGTTTGTTATTGTAATTTTATATAAATTAATAAACAAATAGAGTCACGCATCACTTAACAACAGGGGTAGGATNAACAGTACAAAAAAATCTGATAAGCTCTCAGATCCCACATTGCAACTAACATCAAGAAATGACCACTTGTCAAGTTTTGGTGTAATACCAAGGGAAAACACACACATTATCTGAAAAGATTATTGAAACACTCTTCCCTTTTTCAATAACTGTGTGTGGCTGGGTTTTCTTCATAGACTTCAACTAAAAAAACATATAGCAACATATTGAGTAGAGAAGCAGANTTTGCAAAGATGTAAAACAATCTTACCCTTCTCACTAATTATTTTCTCAAGAATATATTTTTTAATAAAATTATGTTATTTATGGTAACATGTAATGAGTTTGTTATTGTAATTTTATATAAATTAATAAACAAATAGAGTCACGCATCACTTAACAACAGGGGTAGGATCTGAGAAATGCATTGTTAGGAGATTTCATTGTTACACGAACGTCATAGAGTGTATTTATACAAACCTAGATAGTATTGCGTACTGCATGCCAGGGTATGTGGTAGCGCCAGATCGTATATGCAGTCCGTTGTTGACTGAGATGTTGTTATGTGACACATGACTGTGTTTTTGTAATTTCTCAGTTTTTCTTTTAAGTTCTGTAAATTTCGATAGATCTAGCCCACTTTAAAACCCTTTGGGGTCCTCAATAATTTCTTAGAATGGAAACGGGTCCTGAGAGCAAGTTTGAGAACTGGCAAAAAAGACGAACGTAACTTTCCTGACTATCCTGTGGCTCCTTGTCTAGGGTTTCAACCTTTGCCTTGAGTTGCAACTCATTGCAGAATTAGCATGAGGTTTGAAGCACTTTTTCCCTACACTAGGGGGATAATTGTGCCAGCCATCACAGTGGAGACCACCTGGCTATGATGGCTGGCACAGTTATCTCCCTAGTATAGGCTGTGGTGATTCTGGTGATAACAGGAAACCCTCCTACTTTGCCCAGTGTTTGTCCTGCTTTTGAAGTGGCGGCAACTGCCATGGTGCCAGGGAGAGGCTAAGGCTTGGAGCCAGGCAGCTGTGGCTTGTCCACTTCCCCCTGAGTGACATGGGCAAGCTTTTTAACCTGTGAGGAGGCAGCATGGGGTAAGAGAGACATCATGGCCTTGGAGGCAGACCAGTGTCTACCTTCTGTCTGTGTTACCCAAGGCAAGGTTCTCCCTCTTTCCTTTCTGTTGGCTGGTTTGTAAACTGAGGTAACAGCAACATGACAAGCAGAAAATGGGCTTTGCCATCAAACCAACTAGTTCAAATTTTGCCTCTGTCACCCCTCGACTGTGACTTATGGGGTTACTTAGACTTTAGGAATCTCAGCTTTCTTGTACATAAAATAGGGCTAATAATACTTACCTTCCAGGAGTGTTATAGAGATTAAACAAGATAATCCATGTAACAGCCCAGCATGTAATAACGAAATCCAACCTTTAGTAAATACCTCATAAGCATTTTAACATACTTTCAATAACCCTATTAGATAATGTTATTTTTAACATAGTTTTACAGATGGGAAAGCTGTGGCTCAGAGACGTTAAGTAACTTGCTTAACTTTTCAAAGCCAGCAAGTGGTTTAGGTTCAAACTCAGTCCTCTGACCCCAGACTCCATGTTCTCAACCACTGAGCTTTCTCCTACTTTGGCACTTCAAAACCTGTTAGCCCTCTTTAGGACCTGTTTCTCTAAAATTATAATAACTGGATCCACCTGGGATTGATATAGTATTAAAGGGACGACTTAATATGAACCCTCCAGCACCTATACCTGCATATAGTAGGAGCACAATAAATGTTCATTCCTCTTTTCTTTCAAACCATGTTTTATTGGAAGGAAAATGTGTGCAGCTTTCTTGTTTGCTTGAATTTTGCATCTCAAAACTGAAGCAGGGGTCCTTCCTCTCTTTAGGAGAGTCAGTTGGGCTGCTACCCCTGCATCAGTTACCTGCCAGCTGAGCAACTGGTCAGAGTGGACAGATTGCTTCCATGCCAGCACAAAAAGGTAAGACATTTGTGACCAGTTTCTGGGTATTTGATATTTGATTTGTGTATTAGTCACTCATATAGAGATAAGGAGTTGGGCTGTAAATCCAGAGGTGTGTGGAGAAATTGGGTCTAGAAACAGGTATTCGGAAGCCATGGGCACATGGATGGTGAAATCGGTTTTTGCCTCTCCTGATTTTGTGTGTAAGGCATTATTGGGTGACGCTGCAGAAGATGTGCGTGTCTCATAGGCAGAAAAGTGACCATCTGGACACAGGCACGTTCATCCCTGATGGCCTCTCTGGGTCCTAGCCAATCTACTGCTCTCTAATGAGGGGCATCTGGAGGGACTAATGGCTTAGGAACAAAATGCCAAGCTGCCTATGGGGACCTGAGAAACAAAATGCCAGGCTGCCTATGGGGAGCTGAGATAAACCAGGGAATGCCACGGAAGTGTTCCTGAGGACTCCACTTCCATGAATTGGAAAGGCTGACACCCAATCAACAGAGATTGTCTATCTTGCCCATTTGAATAGTTTTGAATGATCCAAAATGGTCCCTAAACCCAGCAGCATACAAAGGTAAGGTGGATGCTGGGAGCCCTCCACGCTGGCAGGCAGTATTAAAATTATGACTTATTCAGAATCACTGGCTCATGGTGATAGTAAAAGGCTGTCAGACTTCTATTCTGTTTTATTACTGTTTTGAAATTCCCTTCAGACCACATGTCTTTACTGGATGCATCCCTCTGGAGATGCCTCCGGGCTCCTAGCTTTCCCACTTGGCCTTGTCTATTGGCACTTATTGTCGAGTTTAAGTGTGTAAGCTTTGATTCTGCACTTTAAATATGGCTTTGCCCCTTTTCTGATGTGTTTTTTTATCCTCTCTGTGCCTCAGTTTCCTTATCTATAAAATAAAGTAGTAATAGTACCTGTATTATAGAGTTATTATGAGCATTAAATGAGTAGTATGTGCAAAGCTCTTTTCACAGTGTCTGGCACATAGTAGGTGTTCAATATGTGTCAGCTGTTTTATAATTACTATCCACGCCCTCCTCTCCAAGCCCACCACCACTGCTTGAATCAAGCCCTGCTCTTCTCTCACCTGAGCTCCTGCAGAGTCTGTGAATAGTCATCCTGCCTCAGTTAGACACAGGGGTGCTCTATGAATGCTTTGATGAGTTGTTCAAAATCATAGCGCTAGTAAGTGGTGGAAACATGATTTGGGCCTAATTTATTCAACTTCGAAATCTGAAATATATTGTTCTGCTTCTCCCATCTCTGAGAAATACCAAAGAATCCTAGATTGCCCCTGTTTGAAGGTATCTGGTCTAAATTCCCATTTTTCTCTGACATCTTGTATTAGCTTCCTGAGTCAGCTGTAATAAATTGCCACAAACTTGGTGACTTAAACAACAGAAATTTATTCTCTCATGGTCCTAGAGGCCAGAAGTCTGAAATCAAGGTGTCAGCGGGCCATGCTCACTGTTGGAGGCTCTAGGGGGGAATCTTTTCTTTGTCTCTTCAGCTGCTGGTGGCCGTCAACAATCCTTACCTTGTGGCTGCACCAATCTGGTCTCTGCTTCCCTGGTCACGTTGCTTCCTCCTTTCTGTGTGTCTTCTTTGTGTATCTGCCTATGATCTCCCTCTGCCTTCCTCTTGTAAGGACACTGTGATGGCATTTAGGGTCACCTGGACAATCCAGGGTAATCTCATCTCAAAAACCTTAATAATATCTGCAAAGACCCTTTTTCCAAATAAGGTAACATTTACAAGTTCCACTGGTAAGACTTGATATCTTTATGTGGCCATTTTCCCACCTATTATACATCCTAAACTAAATTTTCCTCATGTGTTTCAGTTTAGATAGCAGAGAGCACAAGAGAATCCCTTACTTTGAATCTGAATTGAATTACTTCCTTAATGACTAAAAGACATGTCTTTAAAGTAATCCTTAAAACAATTAAATTATGTTAATTATTTAAGTGAAAGACCACCCTAGTTTCTGTTTATTAATATGTTTCTTCCTCTCAAAATCACACAAACAAAGATGTGCATTTCTGGAAAGAAAGATTATCTACTAGCTAGAAAAGGAAATTATGTGTTAATAGTACCAACCACAAGCAATAGCACGGAGAAGTCCCTAAGGGAGTATTGGCACAATCTTCCTGCAACACAACATCTTCATTATTTGGTAGCAACCTGAAAAATAGGGAACCAATGGGAATGAACCTTATGGCTTGCGCCATCATTCCAAGTATAGGAACCATAGGAAAGATGATAATGGCATTAATAGTCACCATTTATTAAATAATTTCTATGTACCAGGCACTGTGCCAATGCTTTAAATAAATTGTCCTGATGATAAGTAAATGATAAACATCATTATCCACTTTGTTTAGGTCACCCATTAAGAAAGTGGCAGAGCCTAGATTTAAAACTTGGTCAGTCTGACTTCAAAAAGCCTGAATGGCTGACCACTCCAATCTGCTGCCGCCTCTGAACTATGCTGGGGAGAAATAAGTGATGTTTGCAGTCACTTAATCCAATTCCTTCTGGAGTAGCCCAACAGCTGGTTGTCAAAATGATAATCATATTGATTATTGTACCAGGAACCAGGCAAAGTGCCGACTTCTTTACATGTTAGCATCGCTGATCTTTGCAACCCTCCCAAATAGACCTCATTTTTCAAATGAGAAATCTGAGATTCAGAGACATGAATTTACACAGTGATTTCTATATAGTAAGTGGCAGATCTGGAATTCTAAGCCAGCTCAAAGTGAGATTCATAATAGTATTTAATCTCATAAATTTGTAAAGATTAAATGAGATGAAGAATTGTAAATGTTTGGCTAATAGTAAGCACTCAATGAACAGTGGCTACCATCACCATTATCATCATGTTGGTAACTACGGGTTTTAAAAATTTAAAGAGTGAGACAGAGGATTGGTTCTACATTTGTACATGGATAACTCCTTTATTTGCTTCGCTGAGAGACAAGAATGTGGGTAAAAAAATAAAATATCCCAGTATTCCCGAATTGGTCATTAATTATAATCTCTTCCCACAGAGTTTACAAATCTCTTACTGCTGTTATTAACTGACAGGCAGGAAAGGCAAGTGGACAGGTGTGGGTTTGACCTTCACCTTTCCTTGACACCTCTGCCTCTTTGCATGAGCAGTTAAGTGACAGAGGTGGACAAGAGAAGGGGTAAGCTGGCCTTCTCCACAGCCCACCCACTGGAATCGTCTGGAAAAGACTGCGTGGACAACGATAACCATGTGGAAACCACTTCTGTTTATGGAGAACGAATGAGATACCAGGCTGGGTGCTTCCTCATAAATTCTCTCACTTGGATTTCACAGTCCTTTCGAGGCAAGGTGCCATTACACCCATGTAACATGCTAGAAAACAGAAGCTCAGAATAGGTAAGTGATTTGCTCATGGGTTGGTTGGTAAGCGAATCTGGGATCTGAACCCAAGATTGCCTAATTCTCATGCCCACACTCTTTGAACTGTAGGACACAGCTGAAAGAGTCATTAGTAACTGCAATTCGTGAGGTCATCTAAGTTATTTTATACATTTGGAAACCAAGGTCCAAGGTACCACACACAGATACTTTACACAGCAAGTAAGAAATAGATTCAGGTCAGGAACTCACTTCTCTTGCTGCTCAAATCATTGCTTTCCTACTGACTTACTACATTCTTGAAGGAAGGGCCTGTGGGCCAAGACAAGGTAAAAGGCAGCAGCAAGCACAGGCTTGCACGTTCCCTTATGGGGCACCCTGTAGGGATGCTCTCCATACAGCATGCTTTACATTATTACACATTTTATCTCCCCAACTAGACGTAAGCTTCTTGAAGGTAGGGATGGGACCTCATATTTCTCTGAATATTCTAATCTTCAGCTCCTTCCTTCTACTGTAGAGCCTGATACTCTACACTATATAGAAAGAATCATCATGAAACCCTAGAACCCCAAGACTGGTACACATATTAATTCTTTCTTTCCTTCCATGACCAGGTATTTATTCACCTGTAGTCAAGGCTGGACCCAGGCATTGAGATGATGTCTTCAGAGATTTCTTTGTCTCCTATCTCTTGGATGGGCTCTTTCTACATAACAGGCAAGATGACCACTTGATACCCACTATTCCCAGCAACTCCAGTTGGAAGAAATTGTCTTTCCCAAAAAGAAAATCCCCAGAGAGGATTATGATTGGCTTGGGTTGAGTTGTGTGCCAATCTCTGACACAATCATTGCAACTAGGCAGATGTGGTGTTCTGGCCGGCCAGGCCTGGTCCTTCCCACCCATCTGTGTGACTGGTGAGGTCACACCCACCTGAACCATATGAGATAGATCCCCCAAGAGAGGGGAATGCCATGACCAGAAGAAATGCTGTGAAGGAAAATCAATGTCTTTCCTGTGTACCTGACCGTAGATCAAGTGTCAAGTATATGAAGCCAAATAAGATATGGTTCTCCCTTTGCTGCCCACACCTCAAATGTGAATTGCTCACAGACTGGTGGGAGAGAGAGAGAAATATGTGGATGCTAGATCACATCTTTACATGACAAGTGTTAGGGGAGAGGGAAACAAGTGGACCTGCAGAATGGTGAGTTAGGGAAGGCTTTCCAGAGGAGGTAAACCATAAATCTCAAAGTGAATAGGTATTAATTGGTTAAATAAGGGAGAGCAGATGTCCTTCCTAGCAAGTAGGAAGACCCTAGGAATATCTTGTCCAAGCCTTTCATTTGGTGCTTGGAAGCTCCACTCAATACTCCAGCTGGTGATGTGCAACTTCTGGTTGCACACCACTGCTGATGCACATTCATCCCCTCAAAAGACAGCTTTGTTGGCAGCTTTCAATCATCATACAGTTATTCTTTATGTTGAGCTGAGACCTGCCTGAATAAATTTTGGATGTTTGATTGACAAGAATGTATCTTGTTCAAAGTCTGATTTAGTATTGATACCGGAGCTTCTTGCAGCCAAACTACAGTTATTCTTTATGTTGAGCTGAGACCTGCCTGAATAAATTTTGGATGTTTGATTGGCAAGAATGTATCTTGTTCAAAGTCTGATTTAGTATTGATACCGGAGCTTCTTGCAGCCAAACAAGTTTGGGGGAACCATCTGCAGTGGTGATGTCTGGGATCCAGCCAGCTGTTCCAGTCCCACAGCTTGTCAAAAGCAAGCACAGTGTGGACAGGATTTCCAGTGTAAGGAGACAGGTGAGTAGCATTCCAGCAGGATAACATCTGTGCCTGTCAAACGTAACATGCAAAGCACTTCCCAGGGAGCTAGTTAAAATGCACACTCCTGAGCCCTTCCTCTAGAAGCTGCCATTTTGTGGCCCAGGAATCTGCATTTTAAGCCAAGCCAGTAGCTCAAATTATTACTATTATTATTTTTTTGAATATGACTGGTAAGGGGATCTTAACCCCTGACTTGGTGTTGTCAGCACCACGCTCTCCCAAGTCAGCTAACCGGCCATCCCTATATGGGATCCGAACCCATGGCCTTGGTGTTATCAGCATCACGCTCTCTCAAGTGAGCCTCAGGCTGGTCCTAGCCCAAATAATTTTGATTCAAGTTTGTAGAAACATTTGTTGATTTATTTGGAAAAGGTACAATTCATCCATTCATTCATCAACTCATTGGACAAATATTGATCAGGCACATATTATGTGCCAAGAAGTATGCTACCTGCTTTCCACATGAAAAAGAAAAAATAATGTACCTGACCTTGAGGCACTCCTAGTCTGTTTGGGAAAAGAACCTACAAGGAGTCAATCACCACATCGTATGTTAGCTACTGTCATGGGCATATGGACATGGTGCAGTGGGACTCTCTAGCAGGAGGTGCCCAAATCTGCTTTGGGGAGTTAGGGCAGGCTTCAAAATGGTACTTGAGGCAAAACTTAGAAAACAAAATAAAATTTTCTAGGAGAAAGAACATGCAAAACATGGGGATTCAGGGACTCCCAATCAGCCTAGAATATCTGCAGCATCAGGGCTTTGGGAAGAGAGGCAGGTGGTGAGCCATTGAGGTAACTGGGGACCCGATGGGTAAGTGGGGCCACACTGTGGCATTTGGAAGGAGAGGAGTGGGGAGTCACAAAAGGGCAAAGATCAGAGGGTCTATATGGCCAGACCGGTGTCGTAGAAAGATCACTGGGCTGCAATGTGGAAGCTGGATTAGAAAGGGAGAGACTGGTGCAAGGCCCGAGCTGGGTTGGGGCTGCGGGAGGGAGCCAACAAGGCTGGATGGAGGGCAGAGGCAGTGGGGACAGAGAGAGGATGGAGCAGATGAGAGGGCTGTTTCAAAGGTGGAACTGACCTGGTGACTGTGGATGTGGGTCACGAGGAAGGTGGGAGTCCAGGTGCATCCACAGCCTCTCCCCTGTCAGGTCACTGCCTGAAATGCCATCTGTGTGCAATGGAGACATGGGCTGCCTTAATAGCTCTGATGAGGATGACTGGGAGGACATCAGGGCCATTGAAGATGACTGCACCCAGTACAAGCTGATTCCAGGATCAGACAGGGCAGCCTCGGGGTGAGTCTGTGCCTTCTGGTTGTTCAGGAATAGGGAATGCTTTGCTTCAATCATAAATATTAGTTTTGGGGACAGATGGGGGCCTTTCTGGAGGGTTCTTCTGCAGTGCATCCCATGAGGCAGCTTTCACATCCCCTAAGGTGGCTCGCCCAGACCCACCTATGTGACTCTTTCCCTCCATGTCTCTGCCTGAGGATCCTCCTCTCCCTTCACCCCTCCCCACCTATCACTCATCTCTCCTCACCCCAATTCCATTTCCAAGGCTCATTTAAGAGGCCACATCTTCCATGAAACCTTCCTTGATGTCCCCAAATGATACCTCTTCTCTGACCCAAGTGTCCTTTCCAGTAGCTGTGTTTACAATCTGCTTTGCAGTGTAGCTGCTCGTATAACCAGGGCTAATAGTGTGCTACAGTGCAAAGAAAATGGGCTCTGGGGTGAGAGAGAGAGGGGCTTGAAGCTCCACATTGCCCTTGTCTACTTAAACCTCCCAGGCCACAGTTTCTTTAACTTTTTTTTTTGTCTTTTTTCGTGTCCGGCAACGGATCGCAACCCTCAGTGTTGCCCCCGTACCGGACCGGGGACCGGCAACGGGATTGCAACCCTTGGTGTTGCTCCCACACCTCGCTCAGCCAGTGAGCGGGAACCGGTCTGTATGTGGGATCCGAACCCTCGGGCGGGAGCGCCGCCGCGCTTCCCAAGCGGCGCACTTATCCAGTGCGCCACCGGGCCGGCCCCACAGTTTCTTTATCTGCTGAGATTAAATCAGCCTCAGTTCTAACTTCTCTTCATCATGCAACTTTTGTTCAGGTTCAGTTCCTTGAGTGCATCATGTTCTTTCCTTCTGAGCTTTAGTTAATTTAGTTCCTTCTTTCTGGAAAGTCCTTCCCCCATATTCCTAACCTGGCTAACTCCTTACCTAGTGTTATGGACTCAGTTGTGTCTCTCCCTCCCCCCAAAATCCATATGTTGAAGCCTTAACTCCCGATATTTGGAAATAGGGATTTTAGGGAGGTAATTAAGATTAAATGAGATCATAAAAGTGAGACCCTAATCTCATAGGACTGGTGGCCTTATAAAAAGAGGAAGAGACACTAGAGATCACTCTCCTTCCACATGCACACAGAGAAGAAGCCATGTGAGGACACAGCAAGAAGGTGGCTGTCTTTAAGCCAGGAAGAGAAACTTCACTAGAAACCAACCATGACGGCACCTTGATCTTGGACTAGTAGCCTCCAGAACTGTGAGAGAATAATTATGTCGTTTAAGCCACCCAGGCTGCAGTATTTTGTTACGGCAGCTGAGCACTCTAGTTAGTACACATAGGTGTCATCTCCTGTAGGTCATCTTCTTGACAGCCCCCTCCCCTGCTCTTGACCTTGACTAGGCTGACTCAGTCCCCTCCCATTACTCCCAGAGCCTCCTGCAGGTCCTATTCTTCCAGCACTTACCCAACAGGGTGGGGACACCTGTTGGGGTGTCCATATGCCCAGGCTGAGAGCTCCTTGTCGTCTCTGTTCTCCTGTACCCAACATGGGGCTTAGCTCATAGTGACATTGTGATATTGTTAGTTCTCTATCACTTTGTCTTTGCTTGGGTTTTGTCCCCTAACTTGAATATAAACTCTCTGTGGGCAGAGGTTGCTTCTGACTCTTTTTCACCTCCTTAGCCCTATGTCAGAGCTTGTCCTATAATAGTTTCTCACTGAGCATTGATTGAATTGGAACAAATTGATATGACCAGCTGGATCTTTACAGATGAGGAAATGTGGTAATTATACATTGTAGTAATTATCACAAAGGGATCCAAACAAGTTGCAGCGCTCTCAGGGACAGGTGTGTATTCCCTAAAATGCAGCTCTTGTTCATTATGGTTTAATTGTCCTGAGATCATAGTCCAACTACCAGATGAGACTGAATCTGGGTAGTGCATGTAGACACACACGTATAAAAAGATGAGCAAATTCTGTTTTCTTTCAGACCAAATTTATTAGTTTGCTAGAGCTACCATAATGAAGTACCACAAACCAAGTGGCTTAAGCAGCAAACATTTATTTTCTCACAATTCTGGAGGCTGGGAGTCTGAGATCAAGGTGTTGGCAGGTTGTTTTCTTCTGAGGCCTGTCCTTGGCTTGTAGATGGCCATTTTGCAAACATTTATTTTCTCACAATTCTGGAGGCTGGGAGTCTGATATCAAGGTGTTGGCAGGTTGTTTTCTTCTGAGGCCTGTCCTTGGCTTGTAGATGGCCATTTTCTCCCTGTGTCCTCATATGATCTTCCCTTTGTCTCCTAATTTTCTCTTACAAGGACACCACTCACACTGGATAAAGGTTTGCCCTAAAGACCTCCTTTTAACTTAATTACCTCTTCAGAACCCCCAATACAGTCACATTCTGAGGTTTATGGTGGTTGAGACTTTAATATGTGAATGTTAGGGAGACATCATTCAGCCCATAACACCTATCAAAGGGGATTCTTGTTGATTTTGAAAGTGACTGTGGAATGAACAGAGTAGAAGTATAAAATATTGAGGTGTTGAGCTGAAAAATCATTCTCTCATTATTAGCAAAAAGATTGCAGACCATGACCTGCTGTCATGTGATTCAACTAGGAGCATTTCAGATACTCCTCCTGAATAGTGTGCTTCACCCCCACTGAACACTGAGACCAGTAGAATGGCCCCACCTCTACTCCAGATGGTG